CACCCGATATGTCCTCGGCGGTGGTGAACTCCCTGTTGTCACTCAGCAGGTTGATTTAGGAGTCGTACACGCATCAGCACTTCATTCTGGAGACAACTGGAAGAAGGCTGCTTGTCGAGGGTTTCGTATGATGTGGTTTATCCGCCGCTCTTTCGGAATCTTAACGGCCAAGTTGTTTGTGAAGCTATTTTCGGCATTCGTCCGACCCCACCTGGAATATTGTATTCAGGCTTGTCCACCATGTCTTAACCGAGACAAAATGGACTTGGAGAGGGTGTTACGAGTGGGCACTCGGTTAGTGCAGGGTCTACGGGGACAGACGTATCCTGAACGCTTGCTCAGTTTGGGTATGTACTCCATGCACTACCGAAGGATAAGAGGGGACCTGATTCTCACTTATCGTATTTTGACGGGTAAGATTGGCCCGGACTTGTCAGGGCTTTTTAGTCCCGCTACGTTACCTAGTCTCCGCGGTCACCCACTGAAACTGCATAAACCACGGTCTGATAGGATTAGGACGGAAACTCGTCTATCGCGCCGAGTTATAGATCGCTGGAATTCTCTTCCAGATCACGTGGTTAGGGAACCTACGGTTAAGGGTTTTGCGCGCCAGCTCGATGCTCTTGGGTGGCAACAGCAAACCTTTCCTTTTTCCTAGCTGACTCACCTTCATTTTTCAGTTCATTTTTTATTGACTCAAATATCTTGGTATTCCACTTGCTTAGTTCTTACCACTTTCTCTTTTGCCTCCTGCGTTTACTTTTTTCTCTTTCTTACTTCACGTAACCGACCCAGCAGGGACTGCTAGGGCAGGATACGTGGGCATTAATTGGTTGGACAGGGTGTGACGCGGTCTTTGTTTTAGGTCCATCAGTATTTCAAAGTTCGCCAACTCCTGGTTCAACGACCCGCCGAAGAAGGAACACTCACGGGATCTATCCTATCGTTCCAGTCCCGCTTGAACTTGAACTTCGTTAATATCTGCGGGACTGGTCTACTTTGTGGCTACTGCCCATAAATCAGGCTAAGTGTTCCGTCCTTCGTATAGGAGCAACTTTCCCGCCTTCGAGCTACGTACTCGGTGGGGTCGAACTCCCCCTTGTCTCCAACCAGATAGATCTAGGTGTCGTTCATTCCTCGTCTTTGCATTCTGGTGACAACTGGAAGAAGCCCGCTAGTAGGGTTTCAGAATGTTATGGTTAATACGTCGTTCTTTCGGGATCTTAACTGCCGACATATTTGTGAAGTTATTCTCAGCTCTCGTTCGGCCCCATTTGGAATACTCCGTCCAGACTTGCGCGCCCTGCCTTGTTCGGGACAAAATGGAGCTTGAGAGGGTTTTGAGAGTAGGTACTAAATGGGTCGAGGGGTTACGGGGGCAATCGTACCCCGAGCGTCTACTTAGCTTGGGTATGTATTCAATGCACTACCGACGGCTTCGAGGAGACCTAATCCTTACTTACCGCACTTTAACAGGGAAGGTTGGGCCGGACTTGCGCTGGCTATTCAGCCCGGCTAGGTTGCCTTGTCTTCGCGGTCATCCCATGAAGCTACACAAGCCGCGTTCTGACCGGATCAGGGCGGAAACTCGGTTATCGCGTAGAGTTATCGAGCGCTGGAACTCGCTTCCAGAAAATGTAGTCAGTGAACCTACGGTTAAGGGTTTCGAGCGTCAGTTAGACGCTCTTGGGTGGCAACACGATACCTATCCCTTCTCCTGACCATATCCATCTTCAAACTTTCAGTTCTTATTCTGTCATTATTTTCACTCTTTGGTGTTATCCTTCATTTTAATGACTTTCATTCCCCTTTATCTTCCATTTACTTTCTACTTCTTTCTTACTTCACGTAACCTACACAGCGCGGACTGCTAGTGCAGGGAACGTGGGCAGTAGTTGGTTGATCAGGGTGTGTTTCGGGTGTTTCGTTTTAGATCTATCAAGAACTAACACCTTATCATTTCCTGGCTCAACGATTTGCTCAAGAAGGAACACTCAAGGGATTTTCCTATCGTTCCAGTCCATCTGAATCTGAATCTGCGGAGGATATATTATTATAATGACGACTGTTGGCCCACGTTTGGTTATAAAAATGGATAATATTACTACACAATTCGCTAACTCTTCAGTTGATACGGAGAATCCCCCACCATCAGCTGAGTGTATCTCCCTGGTCCTTAATATTGTAATTCCCATATTATCCGTATTGGTTTTCGTTGGGACCGTCATTGTTACCTACTTCGTCGACGACCCTGGCTTACGGAAATTGAAACGCTCGAGTCAACAAGTTTGTCTAAAAGCTTTATCATTTCCTTAGCCTGAAGAGATCGTTGTTTCGGATTCCGATAATAATTATGTTCGTTATCTGCCCGAGCAGAAGTTACAAAACCAAGTCAAAGGTCATACGTTTTCTTCCTTTTCTGCACAATACAACGTATCAACGATTACTGGAGCTGACTCCTCTGAAATTCGAAAACCTTTAGCTTATCCTCGTCGCCGCGCCTGTTCTGAGTCCAACCCTGATCGCCGTGTTAGCGACGCAAGCTCAGAAACCCAGGTAGGATGCCTAACACTGCTACTAGCTTTGAGGTTATCTTGGAACATATGCTTTTGCCTCTTGGGTCTGGAAGCACGCACAGTTCGATGCGCACTAGGCCAGTCTTCCACGTTTCCTTACCACAAAGATGGTGTGTTTTAATATATTTAACGATGATTTAATAGGACGAAACGCTTTGGAAAAGAGTCAGAAAACGTTGTGTCAAAAGAGAACCAGGACGAAAGTGGGCAGCCTTCGGAGTGTCACCTCCAGGGTACTTGATACGGCTCCATCTCTAGGCCACGTCAATCAAAGCACAGTTGTTGCTCTCCAGAATTTCCTTGTATAAATTGAGATGAGTCACTAGTTTTGTCATTTGTTGGCTAACAATTTTATGGTGTACTCCCGTTTTGCCTTTTACTGGTGATTAACATTGGTTTTGATTTCCCTCATTTTCACCTTTCATTCTTCCAATCGCACCTTGTAAAAATATTCAAGCATACTTGAGCTATCTCACTGCATTTCTGAAAACATACCTTCTATCATCAAAGCACCACCTATACTCTACCAGTTTGTACTAGATGCTGGCATCTTTCTCTCACACGCTTAAGCTTTTACACTACATGTCCCGATAAGGTATCGTGGTGCGATGTGTTTTAACCCGTGCCATTTCACTTTGGCTTGATAACAAATATACACTGCACTAATAGTTGTGACTATTTTCGTGCCATTTATTACCGCTTGTCATATGGCAATACATTTGGAGTGACGTGTCCAAATGTTACCACTGGTAACCAAGGCACTCTCTGATGTGCACTCACTGTAAACGTTTTTAGCAAAATAAATTTTCATTCACTGCCATTTTAAGCCTTCATACATTTTCGCGGCAGCGTTTGCGTGTACTGTGTCGGATTGCACTCACCGGGTCGTCCTCAGACTAAGCTCTTGACTAAGGTGCACGCCGCTCAATGAATCTTTGGTGGCGCGCTGTAAGCATCACTGGAAAAGTAGGCGATCATAGGCTCCTGCTTTTTATAGATGATTAATTTGTTTGATGCAATCGAGTATTTGCATTTTTCTTTACTTTACTGTCATGATAGCGAGAAAGATGTTGAACATCTATGTAGCTATATCTCAATGTAGGACATGTCTCACTGACACAGTGTTACCTGTAGTAGTGAGCTAGCCCAGGTGAAAAAAGTAAAATATTTACAAGCATAGAAAAAATCTCCATGTACTTACGATATATTCTTGGATGAACGCCATGGAGTCCTTCACCAGCTCCGCCGCCTATTACGGATGGGCATCGTTTCGGAAGCTGCAGTTGTTGGATTAACGGGCTCCATGGGTTATAATCATTGAACGATTCCTTCGTCAGTTTCCTGTGAAGGCTTCATCGAATCTGGCATCCGCAAAGTGCGCGTCCAGGAATCGTTTGAATTCCGACACCGAGTTCGCTTCTACTATCCGCGAGGGCAAACGGTTCCACATGTTCACCACTCGCCGCTCAAGACACAAGGGATGAGCTACCCACTTGAGGTCAGGGACTACCAGTTTGTACTGGTGACCTCGTGTGCTGCTTGGCGCACGGACATGGAGCAGTGGCCTCAGCATCGGATAAGCACCCAGATGCAATACCCGATGGGTCATGATGAGGTCCACTCGCACGCGGCGGTAGGCTAGAGTATACAGACCCAATTGTCTGCATCTTTCTTCATACGGCACACCCTGAAGACCGGGAATGAGCCGTGTGGCTATGTGTTGTACTCTTTCGAGCTTGTGTATCTCGCCTTTCGTCAACGGACAGTAGGCGGGTGAGCCGTATTCTAGCACCGGTCGTACAATGGATGTGAAGAGACGAGTGGCAATCTCTTTCGACCAGGTGCAGAAGCTACGTTTCAGCGCCCACAGCGAACGCAATGCTGTGCGATACATATTGTCCGTGTTGTCCAGTGACTTCATGTCGTAACGTTGTATAACGCCAAGGTCTCTGACGCAATGCGTCGGGTGTAGAACTTGGCCGTCGAGAGTGTACGATCGGCCCGCTCCACCTTTACCGAGGCACAGAAGTAGCGATTTTGCCGAGTTGATAGGCAAACTTACTTCGGCGGACCACATGGAGAGGCGGTCGAGGTCCTGCTGAAGTATGTCAAAGTCGTCCGACGTATGGATCACCCTCCATAGCTTCAGGTCATCCGCGAACAAGGCACACGGCGACCGAAGGAGATTGGGCACGTCGTTGATGTGAATCAGGAAGAGAATGGGGCCAAGCACCGTCCCCTGAGGAATGCCGCTCGTCGACGGGTACCAGGATGTTCTTGTTAAGTATATTTGGTGGGTCTATTCGTTGTTCATTGGAACAAAACGTATTTTCCTCATGTTTTTACATTATTCAGCAGTACACAATAGACTGTATGGCATTTGTTGATCTAACAGCATAATTTCGCTGAACAACAATTGTTACGCGAACTTTATGTGCTCGACTTCCATAGTTAATGTAATTCAGGTTCTTAATCTCACTTCAAATGCATATGCAGCTACCGATGAACGAGCAGAGCACAAATTTTGAACCTGTGCTTGATACACTGAAATTAATCTTTACTTCTACATGTCCCCTATTTTGCCAATCGTTTACCTTCTGCTATGCGCCTTTCCTTAGGTTCCCAGAATTTAAGCTTATTCCCACCTTTGTTTCGGGGTATATAGGTGTCGAGGTACTTAGTTTTCCATTGTTGCCCCTTAGATATTTATTTGGCGCAGGTATTATTGCCTACCGTTATGCATTGTGTTTCTATTCATACTTAAAACTACTTGTAACATTTGATTTCATGCGTTTTACATTTACCTAGTCTTCAAACACCTTGTGACGGCTAGATTCACCTGCTTTTTAAGGCGCTGCTATCGCTCCCTTGCAAATTCACTAGTTTCAAAAAGCCGGTGGCTTTTTGGGCTTTTGTGCCAGGTAGTTTCGGTCACCTGCCGCAAAGGGAAGCGCACTATCATAAATTAGACACGTTACAGATTGCGATTATCCCATCATACTATACTGGACAGCCTTTGGACTTCATGTTGTTTACAAATGGTTGCTTCTCCGTGTGAACTTTATACGTAACTTTTCGCGTTTTCACATGACTACAGTTGCGCCACTAAAGCAACTTGGGGTTCTGCTAGAAGGCTATATGCGTTAGCAGACTGTTGTTGATAAGCTGCATTATGTTACCGACGTCATAAGTTATACCGCCTAAATAACTACAAAAGAGTGCTAGAGTGATCAGCTGATGCCCAGTTGTGAAAGGCTTGCTTAGATATTTTACGCTAACGCCCGCTGTTTGCAGAAGCTGTGTGGCAGGTCACTTGTGTGCCAATAGATTTTGTTTGACCTAAAACGTATAAGTGCACTATTTTCCTCAGGTACAGCCACTTCGAAACATGCCTGGTAATTGACTTGATGATATTTGTTGTTATCCTAGGTGAATTTGTTGCTCGACTGTATTGACATCCGATCGTGCAGTGGCATTTTCAACGGTAAGGGCAAGAATCTTTCGGCGCTTCTGCTTACCCTTTTTCTAACCTTAAATAAAGAAATGAGTTGTATATTTCTTGACGGTGCGAGACACAGACCAAGTATATTGTCTGCTCATTATGTACAACATAGTCGGATGGCGGATAAAATTTCACAACATAGGTTCTAGAGACGTTTTGTGCTGTTTAATTAGATATAAGCAATAACGTTGCAGGAAGTAGAGCGTAAAAATCAACCTAGGCATAGCAAGCACTTCCCGTACAGTGTAACGATCTCCGTGGAACCCTTTCCTTCCGCCATGCATCCATTTAGAGTAGTCTCTAGAAAGGTTTCATCCGCGCTTTCACGCTTCATCCGGCCATGTGCTAATTTAAAATAAAAGCAAGAGCCCCGTCTTTATGTTGGTTGGGTTTTTTGAACGCTTTCCTAAGCAACAGGGCACCATCATGACGATTCTTTTTTCATGGCCGCTGTTATAGGCCGTCAACATGTAAACACGTTTTTTGAGTCCGGCACCTTTGTTTCTCTTTGCGAGCAACGAAAGCTTTACTTTACTCCGAGCTTCGGATGCTTTTACCAGTTTAAAGGCAATTGGGTATTTCTGCCCTCCCAAGGCAGGGCTCGTAAGAGTCCTCGCTATCTCAGAGGTTATCTGATTGAGTTTACCAACTATTGGTTACTGTATCTGAATTTACCTAGGCTGTTTTGAAATTTGTGTTGGCTTCTCCATACATTAAATGATCTACACCTAGTCTTCTCAGAAGTACTGCTAAAAATGGATCAGGTCCAAGCATTTGTTTATCAGCGCTGCTGTTATCCAAGGCAATGTGGTGTGTTCATATTAATAACAACTGTGGTACCTCTACTGAGCCTTGTTGTCATTCAATGGTTTATATGCTTGACAAATCCAATGAGCTGTATTGGGTGTCATCTTCGGAGCTGCCATCATCCAATCATTTTCCATGTCACTGTTACTTTTTAGCAATTCGAGGTAAGGCTGCAAAGTCCAATGCACTTCACTTCACGGATTTTGCTTTCTTAGCTAAATTAAACTTACTTAAACGAAATGAAACGTTTCCCGAGTACTCCAGATTGCACTGACTCTTCTTACTGTGTCCTCTGTTACCCTGCCAAAGCAGATCCCGACTATCAGAACATCACATGGGTGTTGGTGGGTATGTCTCGGATAGTAGTTTGTAACAATGATACGTAAGGGCCGCGCCAAATACGGAACGGCGGTAGAGGCAGATAAAACTAACTTGTACTAAACACCCTAATAGGAGTAGAGAGCGAATCAGCAAGGACGATGAACGATCTGGCGCCTAAGTCGCTAAGAGAAAGCGTTCAAGGATTTACATTCAGCGAAACAAGTGAACAGTCAGAAGCTGCTAACAACGATAAACTACGATGTTGGGTAGTACTGAAAGGGCGTATGTTTTCGGGTTCACTACTAGGGCTTCTCCTTAGAAAACTGGGGGATAGTAACCTTTGGTAGAGCTGTACGGTGGAGATGGGGAATGAGGATAGTTGCGAAGAGTAATATGGGGTCAAACACAAGTTTTAACAAGGGGTGTTTTACATGGTTCACTGGCTTCATGCGCCTCTATCGTTTATTATTTTAGTGTGGACGGGAGTGCATCGTCAGTGGTCTGTCAGGGCGGGTTCATCGGACTGCAAATACCTGGTTAGTCCAGAGCAATGTTCGACAGTACATTTTTCTAACTGTTGGCCCGAGAGAGCGCTCCGGATGTGTTACTCCTCCCTGCCGCATCCTAGTCCACGACCAAAGGAGCTTTCGTCCCACGAAGAAAATCGGGCGTCCTCATCGGCAACGCGTAGCCAGGCATTTACTAACCAATACGGTTTTAGCCTTCTCCGACCAAGAGCTACTGGTTGTCGTTTGCGTGAGGAGGGGCTTTGAGCCGATTTGCGCGTAACTTCAGTGTTGCCCTGGCAACTCTGTCGCTTGGGTTTTTTTGGAAGGCAGAATTCAGTGATAGTGTAAAAGAGTCGGAGTATGCGCCTTGGCGCACGAGTTGGAACACAGCCATCATGATAAAAGTAAATAGGCCTTTGGATTTTTCAAAAGCTCTGTGACATTTTGTCGATTTTACGAAACGGTTGTGGGTGAAGCGCATGTTAACGACCAAAGACGAGAAACTTGCATGTTAATGGAAATAATAAGATCTGTAGGTCGGTTGCCTGTGGTTGTGAATTGGTACGCCGATGATTAGGTGGAACAGAGGTGTTTCGATTATTCTGTGTTCGGGAAGTCATCGCAGGTGCGGGTGTCTGTATGAGAGCATCAAGCTGGGTTCTAAGTGGTACGTCAGAGAAT